TTTTAGATTTTTAGAATCTAAGACTTTGACCTGTGAAATGCGTAGATACACAAAAAGTTCAATTATTCTAAATTTGAAAATCGGTTTGACCGATTCACTGAAAAAGAACCAGTTCAAATGATTCAGTCACGAATCAGACATCACTATTGTTCACTTGCTTAGCTGTTTTTGTGTGCAAGTAGTGTTTTTTGCTAAGACCGTTGTAGCACTTTTCTCTCTGCTTGAAATTGTGTAAAAACAAGTGCGATTCTGCTTGCAGTAGTGTTAGAACTGATTTGCGGTGTGATATCTGGTGTTATAGCAGGACTGACTGTTTACATTTTGCAAGGCCATTAATCTACAGAAAGTATTATGGGTTGTAAGAGGTTTTAAAAACAGAATAAACCTCACTTTCAAATCAGAATTCGCCTGTTTTGTTGATGTTGTTAACATCATGTTGATATTCAAACTTAAGAGGGACACCTTTTCTAGAATTTTAGTCAGTTTTAATGAAAATTCTCAAACAGATTAGAAATAAACACATCTCCAAAAATTCTTAGATACAAGCTGTTTTACTTTTTTTGAATGTTATTACCAAGATTTATTTTCATTTGTGAAAAGAATGGCATCATTGTGCCATTTGTCAAGGGAAAATGATTTTGATGAATTCATTTGCTATAATTCAGTCAGTTTTCTGGTTTTACTGTAATTTCCAGCAGCTATGCATAATATATTTTCATTTCTGAGATGTCTGTATAGTGGCATCTCAGCTATACAGATAAATGCATGTATTGTGATAGTTTCTAATGCATGTTCAGATATAATGGTATAAGCAGTGCAACCTTTTGTTTGAGTTTATTGCGACATAAATGAATCGGGTACACATCCATGCTCTAACAGCTTTGTCTGGTCAGGGTCATGGGACAGTCTGCAGCCCATTCCCAGCAGCGCGGAGCACAAGACTGGGGTCTGGACAGGGTCGGGACAGGATTCCAGTCCGTCGCAGGACACACACATTAACCCGCCCGGTATGCATGCTGCTGCCTGAATCATACTCTTGGTACTTGGCTCTCTTTAATTGAAAGTGGCGCTTTGTGTGAAGCACAGATATATTACACTTCACTGTATGAGATGTGCGTTACGTTCCTGTTCTGCAAGGTGCCTCTCATTTCCTGAAACTGGCTTCTGGCACTGTCGAGAATTTGAATATTCTATCGCATTGTGCTGGCTCCTGTTAAAACAAATTATTTTGTACTCCCCCACCCCCCCTGTATTATTGGTCTTGTGCTGTGCAGCCTGATGTTAGGGGGGGGGGGTGTTTTAAAGAGAACTGCTGACAGGAGCCACTGGTGAGAATCTGACAAAGGACGCGTTTGGTCCGGCTCTCTGTGTTTGTGCACGTAGGCGGGGGGGGCGGGGGGGCAGGTTCGCTCCCGTATGCCAACCCACCCTCTGGGGCATCTCTGTCTCCTCCGCCCCACCACTCCCAGTCGCTCCTGAGCCTCCTCCCACTTCGCTCGGGGCGGTTTCATGTGCCGCAACCGGCGCCGATTTGTCATCTCTAACGAGGCAGTAGCCTTCGTGCTAACGGGATCATCTTTGTACCTTGGCTGTTTTCCAGGATGCTCGCACACCCCGACGCCCCCCCAGGTACAGCGCAGACCTGTGCAGGCCCTTCTGTTGGCCGCCAGGGATCCTTTCCGGCAGCATGTCCGTAGGTCCAACAGCGACCCCATCCTGCTGGACCTGACCTCCAAAGGTAGCGAGTGGTGCTAATGCGGTAGCTGGTGGGCGGGGCTCATCAGGGTGTAAGTACAGCATTTTAGTAAAGTGGCCTGTCTTCTGATACTCATTACGTATCTCCTGCACCTTTAAAAATGTCAGGTTTTAAAATCTGCTTTAAATTTGATAGCGTCGTTTTCAGTGTAACCATATACTACCTCTTCCCCGGAGAGATTAGAACCATCGGTGTCAAAAATGCCTCAGAGGTTGATAGCTGAGACTAGCATGAGCGCAGGGAACCTCACAGTGTAGATAATTTATGTACAGAATAGATACACTGCAGTCAGACACCATTTCTGTGTCATTCTTCATTATGCACATTGTGGGTAAATCATGTTTAGTACCTGTCTGTAGAATATAATTTGGGTTCGTCTCTCTTATCTGACACAGAATTTGAAGCTGAACCAGAATTTAGGAAGTTATTGAATAAAACCAAGTTTCTAAGTTGGCATTTCGAATTTTAAAATTACACGTATTAAAAACATGTATTTCTAATTAATGGTGCAAATTAAAACTTTCTAATTGCAAACAGTTGCATCATACCCCTGATCTTCATCTCACACACACACACACACACACACACACAAACAAACTGTTTTTTTGTTTTTTTTTTTTTCTATGTGCGCAAATGGGGGGGGGGGGGGGGGGGCCCCCATCTGTCAGCAGACACATTAGTAGCCTTTTAAATATAGTCCATTACATCTTCAGAGTTACAGCGGTGGCCACATCATCTTAGCTTTCAAGACGTCTGCTGAGAGGACCGGCGCGTGTGCACAAATGCACGCACGCACGCACACACAGGAATCACCAGTGAGTGAAGTGTGCTGCAGTGCGTCATGAGACCGTGCTGGATCTTGCTGCCTTCTCTCCACAGTGCTGAGCTGTGAGGCCGCCACGCAGACAGACAGCCGGCCAGAGGTTGCAACGGTGACACTTCGCAGGGGGGTGAGTCACCGGAAGCCCCGCCCCAGCTCCATGGTTGACTACCAGAGCTACCAGGACACCAAGCAGCTGGTGGCCCGCTTCCTGGAGCACTCCTCCTGCAGCCTGACACCAGAGGTACAGGAGCTGGTCAACAGCATTAAGACCGTGCTGCGCTCCGACCAGGAGCACATGGAGGAGGCCGTGCGCAGCGCCAGCTTCATCGACCAGGTCAGTGAGCAGCAGGGGGCGACAGGGAGCGGCTGCTGTAGAGACACACTTAGTTTTAATCTGACCATTAATGCTTTTTGCTTGTTGTGTGGGCTTCCTCTTGCCATCGAAAGACAGGTCGGAAGTTAATCTGATCCTCTCCTTGTCCTTGCCTGTTCAGGTCATGATGACTGACCCCCAGGGCCCCCCTGCGCAGCCGGCGCAGCCAGTGCAGCCGGCTCAGCCCGCGCAGCCAGTGCAGCCGGCGCAGCCAGTGCAGCAGGCACAGCTGCAACCCACGGTGGCTTCGCAGACACTGCCCCTGAGGAACCGGCCAGCCCTGCTGCACCTGCGCAGCTGTGGGGACCTGAGCACCTTCACCAAGGAGGAGCCGCCATCCGAGGAACGGAAGGCAGGCTCAAGGAAGAGCTCCAGGGCGGGGTCCCGGGCAGGCTCCAGGGCCGAGCACGAACGTCCCCACAGCCTTATTGGGGTCTTCAGAGAGACGGTCCTCTAAGAAGCCAATGCTGACAAAGGCTACCTATGTTGGCACCCCCTCTGGTGGAGAACACTCTCCACTGCACTTGGCCGAGGAGAGCCCGCTTCATACGGGATTGCAGCATGCAGCCGGTTACAGACGCGGTCTACTCTGAGGAGGTGTGCGTCGTTTTCCTGTGTGCGTGTTCGTTTGTGCATGTGACCTCCTGGAGATGAGAATCCCTTCAGTCGCTGGGCTCACCAGAAATTGCATTTCCTTTTTTTTCGGTAAGTAGACCCTGAAATGCCTCCCTCACTGCTAGAATGAGGGTCCCTTTCAGGTTAGTGCCTTCAGTGTTACTAGCAAGGTGCGAGTTCAGGCATTTCTTTCAAACTGGAGTTGGGAATAAAACTAAACCTTTTTTTGGGTTTTCTGCTGAGAACACAGTGATACTTATCACTATTTTGTCTTTATCAAGCATATATAATTGCTGGTTCTTTTGTAGACTATATGCCAAAATACTCATCTAATTGCATATTTAAAAAATCAGTATATAACAAAGGAACAAATATCCACTTATGTATTAAAAATTTGACTTATAAAAGAGCTACATGTGTGTATTTGACCTTAGTTGTCTTTTTTTTTTTTTAATATTGTGTATTAACTTTTTTGTCTCCATATATATGGAAGTCTCTGCTGAGGCAGTGAGGTGTGACAGGTGGCACCTACCCAGTAAGTTTACCTCAACAATGTGACGTGATGTACTTCCTCTGTGGAGGGTCCTTCCACATCCCCCTGTCACTGTGTACAGGTTTGTGATAAGAGGAAGGCGGCTTTGAAGTCGTGGGTAGTAGGATTATCACATGCTTCGGAGTTGCCAGTGGGTCTGGCCTGTCCCGCGAAAAACCCATGCCTACTGCAGACTAACCTCCCTCAGCGTTAATGCCATCCAGTCGTCTAAAGCTCTGCTGCCATACTGTATGTACGGTGATACAGCGGCTTACAGCTGCGTGAACCGGCATCACACTGTCCTCCGGAAATGTAAACTTAAGGGCATGGTTTCCCATTGTGTAAAGAGAACGTGAGATAATAAATTTGGCATTGGGAACGAGTGGTGTTTTTTTGGAACTGATCTGTCGACCTGAATGCTCTGTCCTTAACTGACTAACATGGCTAATTAAATTTATTATTCAAAGAATTTTTAAAAGTGAAAATACAGGATCTACATGTAGTCTTTCTTTGGACTTGAGTTGGTAAAATTCTAGCATAAGTAGTTGTGGCCAAATGAAGCTTTATGAACCATTTGCTGTATTTTTTGACCCCACTAGATGGTGCTCTTGGCTTGTTTTGGGCATTTTTCAGACAGAGCACCATCTAGTGGGTCTGAAGATATATCAAGTGGTTCATGAAGCTTCATTTGGCCAACACTAGTTACAGGCCTTGGACCTTAAGCACTGTCCTACCTGCTGTAGGGCCTCCTGTGGGTAGCCATCCTTACGCCTTCCAACAGCCAGGTGCAATCTGCCGAGTCACTTAATGAATGGTACAGTATCCAGCTGTCCAACTAAATAACTGCAGATGCAATAAAGACCCGAACCCCCAGTCAGGCAGTAGCATAAACGACTAGTTCTATTGTTCTGCAAGTAGTTTATTGTTGTAAATACTGTTACAAACATTCCAGCCTCGGGGAAGGAATGCAGCTTTATAACTGTAACGCCACAGAAAAAGCTAGCAAATAAATAAACATTGCTGTTGCTTTACAGAGAGTTTGACATACTGACAAACAAGAGTTAAGATTAATTACATTCAAAACAAGTGCATTTTATAAACACTAGAGTATGTGAAATCCACAGGCATTATTTACTCAAGTGTCTTTCAATGTCTTTCTTTTATACAAAGGACATCTTTGTTGCATTATAGTACTCCTCTACATTGCCCAGACTAGGTGCACGCGTTTGACACGTGTGCCTTGAGTTCTAAACTTTTCTTTTCCACTACTATTCAATTTATTTTTATAAAGCTCCTTTCACAACAGTCACCCCAAGGTACATTAATTTCACAATCATCATCTGTTGCTAAAGTACCACTGAACCCAACACATGTTAAGAGTTACATGAAACATGTCGGTCAAAATCTATATTCGGTAATGTCTGGTTAAAAGACCAATCTATATATCAACAGTATTTCCAGATTCTGGCCCACAAAGGATCCACAAGAATTATACACTATTATGTTTTGCAGCTGGTTTTGGTTAAACGCTACGTAATTTTTAATCGGGGAAAAAAAAAACATCACATTTCATGAAAACCATAAGCAAGAATGATGAAGCTGATGGATCCGTATGTCATGCGACACAAAGTGGTGTCTTGTCACTCTCGTTTTGTCCAAAAAAATATATATATAGTAACGATAAGGCCAACATGATTGCGTAGGATCACCTTGACGCTAGTAAGGCGGGGGGACGGGAGAAGATGCACACAGACCAGGTGGTGGGAAGGAAGTTGGTGTATAACTGCAGCTTGACCATCCAAATACATTGCGCCCCTTTGTAAACATTAATCCAAAGCACAGACCTGCTATTTCGGGCTGCAGTTCATCAGAGTTCATGACCCGTCTAAAGGAGAGCTGAGGTAATGTCCAGTACTTGACCAAGGCCATGGGACAGATTCATATTTTCTGCATGCATGTTATTGTAAAAATTAAGAAAAACATTACCAGTTACCTCCATATTTATATGATGCTTGATATGTAAACCAATTACATTTTACATGTAAATCAAAGTATTTTAAAGTATGACCAAAATGTTATACAATCCTTGCTTGCCTTCCAGCTCGACTAATAAATTATTTTTTAAATCACGATACCAACATGCCACAGCTATCAAGCCTGAAATATTTCACACCATCAAATTCAAGTTATTTTTTCAGTTACTCGTTTACCATAATATATATACAGAAACCAGCCGAGGGAGAACTAAGCACACAGACATGATTACAATCAGTCGGTATCAGAGGGTTTTATACTAACTACCTCTGGATGTCGAATTTCTACAACGTAATTCTCCAGCTACTCGAAAGGATCATGTAGGGTATGTTACCTGGGCCAAAGTGTCATAAAACTCAAACACAAGTATAATATTACACCATCGCCTGAATGCCTGAATTTCTGCTGCTATAGGTGTTCAACAAATTAAATCATTGAATCCATCCAGAAAACTGGACATTCATATAAATATGTATTTTCTTCAGTCCTGTACAGATTTAAGTAACCTAATCTACAATCCAATCTTCATCCTACAATGCATCATTTGAATGTTAACTGTCACCCCCCCCCCACCTCATATGAGTGTTTCAAACAGAATGGTTTCCCTGAGAAAAAAATAATTACCTTTCTTTAGATATTAGAGATTTCATAAAATTAAATTATCAAATGTCAAAGTGCTCCTTGTTTTGTTGAGACTGGAAATTCTCCGTACTTATTGCACTTTTAAAGAAAATAACTAACCGGGGTCTTTGAGTCACCATGGTAAATGTTAACAAATCATAATGAATTATTATTGTCGATGAAAGGGTACTTTTCAAATAACCTTAACAAGAGTTCTTCAGCACTAAAATGACCTAGTCTTTTCTGTGACACGTTTGCAGTTGAAAGGGTGTTAGCTTTTTCTGTAGAGTTACACTGCAACTTAGTTACTCTCTATTTACAGTGTGCCTACTATGCACTCGGGCACAAGCATGACAGACCTCACAAGCTATAAAGAAACTGTTTTCAAAATGCCTTTCTCATGCCCAAATGTGCAAGTCTTTAAAATGTTGTTTGTGCTGTTGTTTGCAGGGACATCAACTAATATAACAAACAAAACTCAACATCTCTTGGAGTTAATTCACAAAAACAAAGACTACATTGACTCTGTGTAGTGTTCCGTCTCCAGAGCAACAACCATGGCTACTAAACTATGAAACCAAAATAAACTATGCTTTAGTTTACATCATTGTAACACACCTTTTACTGTCTGAAAAAAGAAAATGTGAAATTTCCCACTGGATAACAGTAAATCCTAAACAGCATTCCTTACATAAATGTGCTTTTGGAAACTTTCAGGAATTTCTCTGAAGCATTTACTTTGGTCCAGTTTCCTAGTTAGTGTCCAAAGATAAGGGCTTCCCTTTAAAGTTTGAGCAAAATGAAATGCATAAGGAATGCTTGTTAAATCTCAGCACCACCGAAGAAAACATAACTCCCATCTTATGGTCCTTGACAGATTTACCACCATAAGGAAGAAAGTAACTAAAGTTTAACCCTGCCATCCTACAATGTTTTCACCAGGAAGGTAGCACAGAAAATATGTTCAAGGCTAAAACTAAACGGAGGCAGTGAAATTGTTTTTTTTTTTAAAAAAAAAAAAAAAAAAAAAGTTTAAGAAAAAAGCTGGTGACAAAATGATGAATGTAGAAATATACACACGCACACGCACACACGAAAGTAAACGAGTATGGGGACATGTGACAGAGACACAGAGACGCAGCACTGTACACCAGAGTACTACAGCCTCCGGGCGCAATGGGGGATTCCTGGGATGGGGGGGGTTTGTGGATTTGAGGTCAGAAGTCGGGATTCCGGTCAACTTCAGATGTAAACAGGCTGCTCCTGGGCAGTTAGCAAGCGATACATGGCGGCCGGCATGGTCTTCATGTGGATCTACAGGAAGGCAAGAATGAGTGAGAATGAGAAATCCTCTAGGCATTTTACCGAAAAATAACTTCTTAAAGCGCTTTCAAAGTGTGGAGGTGCAAAACAGCTCACCTCCCCGACCGCATTGGACAGGATGTGCACAATCTTCTCATGGGGCGTGGCCACCACACTCTGGCCATTGATCTCGATGATGCGGTGGCCAACACGGACTCCGCCACGCTCCGCTATCCCGCCCCGCATCAAACTGCAGATCTTCGGGGGAAGACCAGAGGAGTGAATCAATCACCAAGACTTACCAAATCTGCCATGATGTACCATAAGTAACAAAAAACGGGTTTGTGATTTTTGGCCAAGTTCTTGGGCTACAGTACTGAAAACCATAGTTCCTAACGTGAAACACAAGAGATCACAAGAGATACTGTGTGAAATAACAAGGGATACTCACAATGCCGTTCTGTACGCTAAAGCCCAACTGGTACCTCAGATCCGGCCTCCTTATGAGAACAGTGGTAACGGGCGGGCATCTGACAATGTTCAGCTTTATCCGAGACTGATTCTTTAGTCCCTGGAGGATTTGGGGGGGGGGGGGGGGTGTGAGAGTCAGAGAAACCATTAAACCTTGGCTGTCTTATCACATCTCTGATCTGAAGTGGAGAAAAGTGCTTTGGAGCGAATCAATGGAGCAGCCAAATGAAGGTTCACCATTAGACTGCTCTCAGTGTTGTTCTTTTGGTGTTATTTTGTTGGTGTTATTATTGTCTTACCCATTTATACTGATGAATCTATTGAAATAGTTCAGCTTAATTAAGTACCTCACATAAAGGTGCAACAAAAGGAGCTTGGGTTTGTGTCTCGTTACCTTAATGATGCTCTGGCAGGTAGAGAGGGGCAGCCCCACCAGGCTCGTCCCATTTATGGACATGATCTGGTCTCCGATGTTGATCCTGCCGGACTTCTCGGCTGGGCCAGCGTGCATCATGCTGGCGATGATGACGGTGGGAAGGATGGAGCCCCATCCTGACTCGACGATGACCACCCCTAAAATGTCCCCCTTCTGCTTCTCTATGTAAACCTAATGGACAACAAGAAGTCAAACTCTTAAAACGCATGCAGGGATTGTCTATAAACTGATCAGATGGATTCTCATAGATTCGGCAGCCAAAAGTCTTGGGGACTCAAGAAAAGAAAAGAACCACCAGTCACAGACATACTAAAACGATTGTGTATATATGACATAGTGTATCATAAACGTGTCTTCCTCAGCTGACGTAACAGATGATTAACATGTTTTTAGCATATGCTATGATCTTCCCATATGGTAAAGACACAAGCAAATCATTAGCTACCATGCAAATAAGACAAGAAAAGTCTGTCCCAAATATGGCTACACATGACCTGGTCTGCCCCTGTCAAACACACTCACATCTTTGCAGTTCTCAGATTTGGAGAAGTGGATGAGGTCATCATTGTACATGTCCTGCGTGTTGAGAAGGTCACTGTACTCCTTCTGGCTCAGGTCCTCGGGGTTGATGCCGTTGGCGCGCAGGAACTCTTGGTAGGCCACGCTGAAGGCCTGCCCTATGGATTGGGCTATGAGCTGTGCCTGGTGGGGGAAGGCATGCATAGGGAGGTCAATGATGGGGAGACATTCCATCAGGTTGGCTGCTAGTGTGATCACTAATGCTTCAAGAAGCATTCAGAAAATAATGCTCTACTTTACGAGCTGCCCGCACAGCAAATAGACTTCACGCTTACAGTTGACTGACAAAATTTATTCTACTTTAATTTTCAAAAAAAAAAAAAAAAAAAACACACAGGGTGAGCAAAGCTATAGTTGCAGGGCATTTCACACTTGAGTGCAATAAATTCCTCCCTCAGATGGTATCTTATATGTAAGTAAAAAAAACTCCCAACCTCCAATCAACAACGAAAAAAAATATAAATCGTTGCCGTTATTTTTGTATAATGTAGTATTGGTGCATAGGGCTGCACATCACCATGACTGCACATCACCAGGACTGCACATTTAAATTTCCCACAGTCCAAAGACATGCAGTTAGCTAACTGGCATCATGTACGGCCTGCATTGTGTGAGTACGGCATGTTTGGTCTGCAGGGGCCTGGCTTCCTGGCCAGGGTGTCGCCCAGCTCTGTTCCCAGTGCTGCCTGACACAGGCTCCAGATGACCTTAACCAGTATACGTGCTCTGAAGGTGGATGGATATGAAATAAACATTTTAAGCAGTCATCACCTTCTGATACCCTGTTATAAACATAAAGAGAATAAAGAGGAAATGGCTAATACGCTGTGTCACAGTGATGCAGTACTAAGTTTTTGATTCATTACATAATTTACAAAAAATGTGCTGTCCACTCATACTGGAATTCCGCATTTTAATAAACATCCTTCACTGGCAATTTGACTAAACATCTGGTAGCAAAGAATGATGTAAACATCATAGCGACGGCTCCCGGCAGGGCCGTTCCATACGCCTTTGAATGGGTCTCTCTCAGACAACACCTATAACTACAATGCTCCTGTTATGAAATGTTTCCGACAATTTGCTTGAATTTATTTTGTTGATCCGGGAAGGTATGCAGCACTCATACCATTCCGCCAATACTCCCCAAACGCGTGTTTCATAACAAACTCGCCAAAAAATTCAACAAAAGGTTGAAGCTGCAGTAGCTGTTGAAATATTAACTACAGGACCAGCGACGCAACCTGCTGCCTTAACCTGAAGTGCTTGCTCTTGTGAGCTCATGATTCATTAAGAAATTAATGACAATTACCTTTTTCAATAGTCCTCCCCCCTTAATTAACAAGGCTGGGAGGGCAGTGTTTGTGCCCCTGGTCATTATTGGTACAGCTGGGATTCTTTACCTAATAATTATAACTCTGGGGTAAAGAACTGAGTGAATGAACATAAATATCTCAGAATGGCTCTTCTAGTATCTGTCAGGGCTGTTCTTGAACAGGTCTATTATGTCAGCAGTAAATGGAACCGATGGAGAGCAGCAGACTAATTCTACAAGATCTCAGAAAAGCCTTCAGCCGTGGGAACACACTTCATTGAAGTTAAAATGGCCTCGTTATTTTAAAGCTTCAGGAATTTTAATGAAAACAGCACATCTTTATATATAATGCAATATTAAATATCTAACGTGGTGCAGCTACTGTACGTGTAGTAATGCAGTCTGAGTCTGGGTTATGTTATTAAGTGAATAGCAGGAGAACATTAACACAGCACAATAAACATAAAGCAGAATAATGAAAATGCACTAGAAATTATATTAATGCCTGTAAACCATCGTTCTGAGTGCGTGATGAGGGAACACCATAATAGAAGGGATAAGGCAATAATGCTATAATACAGCAGATAAAGAAAAAAAAGAAAAGGAGAAAGAAATGAAAGCAAAGGCAGAAATGAGGAGGACTGTGGTAGGGCTGCTTACATCCTCTGACTCAAAGACGTGGCAGATCATCTTGTACTGACGCTTCTCATCCTGGGCCGGGTCTGCAGCCTCCAGCGGCTCCTGCGAGTTGGAGCGGGGCATTCTCCTCCGGGCCATCAGAACCACAATGTTCCCGATGTCTGCTATGTATGAGATGGTCCTCAGGGGGTGATCCATCATGGTCTCCTGATCAAAGGATGAAGGCAGGGGTTCAAGAAGGCGCAAAATCCCCAAAGGCCCATTTCATAAAATATTATGCAATTCTGATTAATCTTGTGTCTTTAAGTTTTCTCCAAAGTTCTTAAGTTTTAAGGAAAACAAACCAATTGGGCCCTACAGCATCCAAGAGGAAGGACTGTTTTGAGGTTGACCGTGTCTGTACTATTTTTATTTTTACGATTATGTGTCCTACCAAGAAATTCCTATGGTCAGTCTGCGACCTCTGAGACTTCAATAAAACAATTTGGTTGGAAAAAAAAATGTATTTCTTATAAACACAATTATGGATGACATTTCTCGGGCAACCAGGGAAGTATTTAATAAAGTAATTTGTTTTTCAGCCCTAGTGTTCCTTAATGGAGCACTTCCTAATTTCATGAATATTTTTTTCTCCACATTAAACAAAAATCTAATTACTAGAAAGACTGCAACAGCAGATTTTACAAGACTTATTTTACACAAGGTGCAGTGTAATTGGTTAAATTTATTTCAGCTTGAAAGAGCATGTGAGAGAAAGCGGGATAGGACAGGGGTGGGAGGGGGGGGGCGACCTAAAGACAAAACAGCAAAGCCGTAAGAGGAGAAGAAGGTATAAGGAAAGGGGTGAAAAACAGGAATGAAAAAGGGGGGCTGGAGAGACCGGTGGGGCAGAATGAAATAGTTAATTATAATGTTATTTATATGTTATTTGACATACAGCTGATGCAATTTTAGAATATGAGATGCGCAATCCTTTGTGAATATTCACTCATTAGGATGGCTGAAAAACCTCAAAATCAAATAAAAAATCTTTAAGCCCCATGACTAGCAGTGACATAGGATCTGGTCGAAACATACTGCCTGACAGTCTTTTAGTACCTAGAACATAGCTGTGATGCTGACACAAGCCACAATGAATAATTTAGTAGCCTTCCTGTGGTGACAGCAACTGACACAACTAATTCTGTATGGCCAGGCACCAGACTGAATTAAATGCAACTTCTGTATATTCATAGTATAGGACATTATTATATTATATATTATTTCTTTAATCACATTAACACATATGGTATTCTGATACCCAAATGAGAGAATAGTATGATCAATGATTTTTAATGAAGACCTATAATATTCCTTTCTGGATGTAAACAACATGAGTTTAGGTTGTGACATTGTACAGAATCCCAAAATTCAGAGCCAAAATCAAAACATTCAAAGCAGCATCTCATAGGGAATCTGGTGTTACCTGGATTATTTTGTTTTAAACGCCATACGGAGGCATACTTACATAAAAAAATATTGCAATTTGTGGTATTCCTTTTATTTTGTTGAGGGCTTGTGCCTTAATACCTTAAAATTAACACTGATTTCTGCTCATTTTGCACTTTGCTTCTGTTTGCACTTGTGGTAGATATGTTCCCATAGGAAGGAATATAGCTACAATATACCTGTGAGTCAGCATTCAGAACTTTAATCCTCTGGGTAGAGATGAAGAGGTCCACCTCTGTCATTGGCTGGGCCTCACCTTCTGGAGCCTGGGGAATGAATGGGAACAGTCTCTCAGTCAAAGTCAGGGGAAGCATCACTGTGTTAGAAAAGACCTGTTTCACATCCAGTCCTGAGGTCAAGAGTCGGATGTCAGAACAACACGCCACAATGTTAGGACCACAGAACACAGCCTGAGTTACTGTGAAGGGTTTCTTCTTCTGTTTTTGCATATTAAGTGGCATGAACAAATTTCAATAACTTATCAGGGTGAACGGTGTGGGAAAAAATATTCAAAAATATGCCTTTAAATTACAGAAGAGCCCCAAATGCCAGTCAATGTGACTGGTGTCAAATTCTTTCCCTTCAGTGAAGCTCTGGCAACCAGTGCAGGTTAGTGCTGCTTCAGAAGGCTATAAACGGGCTTCAGACTGAACAAGTATAGGTTAGTGCTGTTTCAGAAGGCTATAAATAGGCTTCAGACTGAGCAATTGTAGGTTAGTGCTGCTTCAGAAGGCTATAAACAGGCTTCAGACTGAGCAAGTGTAGGTTAGTGCTGCTTCAGAAGACTATAAACGGGCTTCAGACTGAGCGAGTATAGGTTAGTGCTGCTTCAAAAGGCTATAAACAGGCTTCAGACTGAACAAGTGTAGATTAGTGCTGCTTCAGAAGGCTTTAAACAGGCTTCAGACTGAGCAAGTGTAAGTTAGTGCTACTTCAGAAGGCTATAAACAGACTCAGTTACACTAGAGGCATCATCTTGCACCACTACATTGCCTAATGTACCGCACTTCTGTCGACGTGTTGCAAAAGGAAAAAAAAAAACAAGAAAAAAAATTTAAAAAAAAATTAAAAAAAAGCTTCGAAATATGCACACAAACGACATCAACAGCACTTAACAGACAGAGGCACAGCGCATTGCATCACTCCGGCACCATCATTTTCTGCATCCAGCAACAATTCACTGCCGACATGCTGTGAAAGGTCCTTACTGGGGTACGTGTTCCTGTTTGCTTACAGCTTAATGAGAACGAGAAACTGATGTGTAATAAAGAATGGAAAAAAGAAACCAAATGTTTGCGGTCATGGGTGAAAAAGTGCTACTTGGTTGCTGGATCCAGAAAATGCACCAAGAAAAAAAAAAAGGAACAGAAAAGGAGGCACAGATTTAAAGAAACAGGCAAAAATAATACCAAACCAGTGAAGAATTACTGCACCTTCTTCCTGTTTTTGGCTAATTTCTGGGCCGTCTGCTTAGCATGGAACAAACAGAGACAGCAGAATGGTTAGAGCAGCGCTGGGAAGACAGGGTCAGGCAGGAGGGCTGGGGATCAGGTGGAAGGTAATTACACAAGTGATAAGTTATCCGCAGAGGCGGTTACAGCTTATGGTGTTTGAGGTGCCGGCGGGGGTGGGGGTAGGGGTGGGGTCACACAAGACCATAGCACAAGAAATGTACACGTTGAGGAACAGGTGTGTGTGTGTGTATGATTCTGTAAAGCTGGGAACATTATTTTAAAGCCAAAGGCTTCTGCCGAGACCAATGAAAGAGAAAGAAGTGATCATGGTGCATAAGTGACCCTTTATTTGTAACAAGCCAGAAGCTCAGAGGCTCAATAGGCCACACAGTGTTGTTGTGGTCCTGTGCATTCATCCTGAGTGTTGATCCTGAGTGCTCATCCTGAGTGTTGATCCTGAGTGCTCATCCTGAGTGCTCATCCTGAGTGTTGATCCTGAGTGTTGATCCTGAGTGTTGAGCCTGTGTGCTCATCGTATGCTAGCAGTCAATGGTCTTCATTTTATTGCTTAACCACCAGGTGGCTCACTTGCTTTGTGAACGATTATATATGTCATTGCGTTTGATTGTAGCAGAGGATTAGTCACCTCAGACACCCCAGTCACTGCATTATGGTTTGATATATGTATTTTTGCTTGTCTTATGTATAACAAAAACTGAAGCTGAAATACAGCTTGAACACATAAGGCTGAGGATAGTGCTATGCTAAAATATACTTTTAAAAATGCAGGTCAATTTTCAACCTCACATCTGAGATAATAAAGATCCTCTGCCTTTGTTAATAAAAATAGAAATTTAGTGCGTATATCGAGTAAAGAAAGTTGACTACCTGTAGGTTCAGAACTCAGGATGGCAATTGTTGATGGGCCCATTCAGTCAGGTACAAAACATACTGAAAACTACAGCATCACAATGTAAAAATAGAAACAATTTAACCTGCATATTGTTTCTTTGCCTATTACTTGTGTTATCAGTGTAAGTCTGGCTCTGTGCATGTTATCCATTTGCCATTCACACAGCTATATACAACAGTGGTTTAATATAATATGTCTCCACAGTGAAAATTTTTTCCCACTATTTTAGAGGTCTGTGTTGCTACAAAGGATGTGAATTCTCAAGATGCCAGCATAGTTAAAAATTTCTGAGTATCGAAACATCTGGCTGCAAATTACGATATCCAGCCCAATAGCTATGATGTCGTTAACCATATTTCAGTCACACTGTAGGGAATTTAATGTGTTTTGTGGGTGAAACGGAGATAAACACACACTTCAACATAACCAGTCAGCGCAAAATTCCGGGGTGTCTGCTTTCAATGTTCTGTTTTCTGGAGGGTTTCCTGAAGTCCCATAAATAAAAGGGATCAAGAAAATTGAATCAAAATTGAAAACAAGAACTTTGATGATGCCTTGTCAAAACAAATGGTCAAAGAAATCTTTGGCTTGTTACTTTTTTTTCACATGAAAAAAATACAAGTTCAGTGGGTGGTAAGACAATTAGAGAGACAGACTGGCACTGATGGGAAGGAAAGCCCAGTTCAGCTGGCAAGAAATGAGAAACGATGACAAGTCTCTAACACTCAAGCCTCAGAATAGCCCATTCACTGGCAACGCTACATTTTTGAAATTCGTGAAGGTAAATGTTCTCGAACAGTTTATTTTCAAGGACTGGTAAACATACAAAGCTGCATTGACAGTCATAGGGTCTATTTGTTATTCATATATTTCAGGGGACTGGCATCCTGTCCAGGTTGCACCTGTGCCCAGTGCCCAGTGCCCAGTGCCCAGTGCTACCTGGGATAGGCTCCAGACCACCTCGCCACCCTGACCAGGGTAACCGGCTAGAAAATGGACGAATGGAATGACTAGTCTTATTACTGCTTAGACATGAATCACTTTGTATAAGGGCAAGATCATCGTAATCACAGGCCTCCGATAAACACAGAAGTGCTTCATGAGATGAACACCGACTCGGCGTTTATGCTGCCCTTCAGCGACTCTGGATCGTCAGCTGTTTGCAGTGAAAAGCGTTTTTATGTTCAAAGTCAAACACCATGTTGAAGAAAATATATATTAAAACTTCCTCTCTCAAGACGCTAAAGTATAAAAATATTAACACAACGTAGAAATCATAGCCGTACTATACTCTCTATGGCCAGAACATTCTTTCCTGCTTTTAAAAGATTCAGTAATTAAAGGAGAAACACACAAATGTACTTCTTTCTTGTTTTAAAGATTATTGATCATGTGTAATTACTTATCAGTTTGATTCCAATCCCCAGTAAAAGAGAGCTGTAGATTGTGGACCATAAGGAGTGTATACCCCCCCACCCCCCTCAGAAAAATCTGATTGGTAGGTGGAGTGAAGAACACAGGTGTCAGAAAATGCTGAAAGATGATCCCTCCAATACCCATGTGGTCCCAAAGCACGCTAATATATGCTAATATATCATCCCCTGCCCTCCCCTGATGCTGCGGATCCTCCTAATCAAATTCTCTGGAAACATGACATTGCCTAAACATTTTGAACACCTACAGTCATTGGTGTTTTTTTAATCGACAAAATATTTGATGCCAGCATGTAAGATATTATATTACACAGAGGAACTGCTGAATTCTCGAACCTGACTGGTAATGATTAACGTTAACACGCAGTGACAGCCAGGCGAACCACAGCTGTAAGTTTACGCACGATTATAATACTAATTAACTTTGCTTAAAATTCCATATGTAGAACACAATTTAAAATGAACGGAAGCTAAACAGAATGTTTAATCATTGGGGGAAGAAAGTAGTTTTTGGCTCGTAATCGAGAAAATGATGTCTTGTGGTACAAACGTGTATGCCAAGTAATACTAACCACGCTATAGGCAGGGCAATGTGCTCCAAGCATAGCACTGTATGTTAGTCACTGCACTTCACTGCGTGCTGCTTTGTTCTTTCACTCCACAGCCATGCATTTAAAAACCCATAATGCACTGCTTGAGTGTATTAACCTACACTTAGTCTACAGACATTTCCTCCTAGCCCCTGCCCCCCCCCCCCCAAAAAAAATAATTATATATTAATATATTCAGAATAGATCAAAAGTAGAATTAAACCACTAAGTTAACTCAGTCAAATGCGTAGAAACCCACAGTAACCGGTGTGGTATGTTAACAAACCATTAAGTCTCCATATGTCGGGCGTGCACATGCTCAGTCGGCCCACTTGTCCTGGGTATGTGCAGGAGTGAACGAGGGTGACGGAGGAGCCGCGCGGAGACTCCAGCAGGCGGAGCCTCACCTTGATGCGGCTGACGGCCTCTTGTGCCTGCATCATGCGCACGTTCTTGGAGGGGGTCTTGTCTGACAGCAGCTGGGTGGAGCCCAGGTAGTTGGCTGCGAAGATGATGCCATCGATTAGGTCCTCCGGGTCACAGGGCCCAGGTACTGCGTGACAAAATACAAAAATAACAATGACAATGACGTGCAGAAGCAGGAGGAGCAGAAGCAGATATCACACATCATAAGTGACATCCTCAGGGGTGATTCTAGGACTTCGTTTTTAACTGGGGGACATAAGAGGGGCTATAATTCATATAGAGGGGCTGACCTTATCATTAGCCAGTGACAGGTTTTGAATCAGTGCGTGACAAGCTTTCAGGCCCTGGAGACCCACTCAGAACTGCAAGAACCGTAAGCCTGAGAGAGGTATCTCTCTTTTTGGACTGCTGATAAGAGCCTTGAACTTGTGTAACAATAGCAAAACTGTAAATAATGCACATGCTGGGCAATTTTAAAGTGAACTTTCAACAGGCCCCAGCTGGGATTTGTGATTTCCACTAAAACATCATCATGGTAGGTATCATAAATTGCTGCTTTACTGCACACCAATAAGCAGGCAACATCCTATGCAATCAAAAATCTGCGCCCAGCTCTTACTACAAGCAGGTTCAATTACACAACGAATAGCTGCTGTTCTGTGCAGTAAATGGGCTTCAAGCATTAAAGGCCTCGAGAGAAAAGAAAGAGAAAGATTTGCTGTTGAAAAACCAATTAGGTGTGTGTGTGTGTGTGTGTGTGTGTGTGTGTGTCCAAGAGAGAGAAAGAGAGACCCTAATTTCTAAAAGGTCACAGAGCATGACAACCTGCCTGGCAGAAAATTACAAGTTTGAAAATGACCTGTGTTGCTTTCTTGCAAACCATTACGTGCCTTGTATGGTCAAGGTAGGGAGCCCTTGGAGATCCCACACGAACACAGACATCCTACCCGGGGAACCTTAATATCAGGGATCACTCTCTAAGCTCATCGACCTGCCATGACAGACAAATAACTCGCTTCTAGCTAGAGAGGACGTCATTAAATGTTGTGACGTGGTAATGGCGGTTTGGCGGAGAAGGCCCCAGTAGAATTCAGCTACCGCAGAAATTCAGGAAGGTGCCGTGTGGGTGTTTCGTGACACATGTTAAGCCATACAAGCTAACGGCGATACGGAGCCTTTACTTAAAATGGATCATCTCCTGCATTGTATGGTTACACAACAATTTCTCGGATCGATAAAGTTCTCAAATGCGTATATCGTCAGTCTCATGACTCACTGACAGCTTGTCGTCATTGTTCGCTTCGGTCTGGCTCGCGACACTCACCTTCCACGTAGGTTGGGAACGAAGCAAGGCTCTTCCTGGACTGCAAACACATAACAAAAGACTCAGCATAAGGACAGCTTACAAAAACATGGGGGATGTCAAATCATCCTCTGACACAAAAAGTGAAATATAGCCAGGCTTTGTTTCCGACTCGGAATTCACACCAAGAATATGGGTATGACTCTTCCTTCATACAATACATGGTAGGTGGTAAGCATGGGCTGTTAAAAGCAGGAGAAGTTGCATAAGTGTCTTAATTGAGGTAGCTCTGAGTTTAACACTCAATCCCCCCCCCCCCCCCAGCTGCAGACTGTACCTCCTTGCCGGCTGGAGGAGACGAATCAAAGCTGTCGCTCCTTTCCGGCAGCATTGGATGTCTGCTGGAGGATCCTGCCCCCTGCGGAGAGGCGGACCCTGAACTGGGAGACTGAGGAGACAAAAATGAGCTAAAGTTACCGCAGCTCCAGGGGAAGCAGGGGGGCCGTGATACTCATCTCTCCAAAGCAAAGGTGATGTCAGACCAAAGGCCGACGACTGGTGCCACATGACTTGGGTCATGATGACCAAGGAGTATGAAACAGATCCTAATACTAAAACTGTACTGCTTCTGTCAGACAGCAGTCCAACAGCCCTGCCTCGGCAAGCGCGGCTGTACACCTCCGCGGCGGAAAGAGGACAGGAGGTCAGGCGACAGCCCACTCGCATCTCCACAGTTACGGCGTGGGGGACATGGTCCAAGCTCCCCTGGGGCTGAATTCCCTCCCCCCTGTCCTAGGCTGGTCAAAAAGTCAAACCTAACCATTACTAACCATTTTAAATAGATCTAATCCATATATGATGTTTTTTTTTTTTTAAAGAACGATTACCTATATAAAAAAAACAACATTGCATATATATATATATATATATATATATATATATATATATGTGTGTGTTTGTTTGCTTGTTTGTTTTTATAATATATTATGCTAAAGTGACTATTAAGCTCAATGAGCATTTTCCTGTCCACTAATTCCCAGCCTACACTAACATTCAGTGGAAGACGATAGAAGGTACACAACTGAAACCAGCACGTCCTCGAAGCAGGAAAGAGCCCAGACCACCTCAAACGAAAGAGCCCAGACCACCTCAAACGCACACAGAGAAACGCCCGACCCGAACCTCATCTCCCTCGCGACGTTCCTCCTGGTATATCCAGAAATTCTCCATGGCGCGCTGCAGATCACGAGTCTAACGGCAGTGCAGATCCCAGACTGAAGACCCCGCGATGGAGAGCTGGCTGCACCGTCCTTCTCACGCAGTCTGTACGCGCGATAACGGAAACAATGACCTGCAGAGGAGCTGGGCTCCGGTGACAGACCGCGAGTGATCAGCGTGTGAATGGGAGGGGGGGGTCAGGGGCTCCAATTACACCTGGGCCACTCTGCCCGACTGCATGTCACCCTGTTTCATGCCCGTCAGCCCAAATGTGGGTGTTAACCTACGTCATCCTGACGGACACAGAACTGAGGCAGCCAGTTTCACCAGGTCTAAACCTGCAATTTCGTAAGGTGATGCCCCCCAATTCATTTCATGCTGAGCATCAAATTTTTCGACCATGAGACCAACTATCATGCAGGAACTTATTACTCACACTGTCTCAATCCATGCTAGAGTGAGGAGTGGCCATTCACTATCGATCTCAGCAAATCCCATTAGGGACTGAGACTACAATAGCTTCAGTGTTCATATCATGATGTCATCTATTCATCTATCCATCCATCCATCCTCATAATTTCTTCTCCATTTATAAATCCTTCCATGCATCAAACATATCTAAGTTCTCTTGTGGACACTATATGCTATACGTCGTACTTCATTTCATTTTCTCATAAAAACAGGGGAATCCAACGCAATTTCTTAATCTCTGCTTCTCCTTACAACTACAGTGATGGAAATCGAAAAACGTTCATAAATTCAACTAAAAAAAATCCAATATCGGAAAACAACTGAACAATGTGAGCAGAATGAGAGAGTTTCAGAAAACCCATTGTTCTCAAGTCACATAATCAGGGTGTCTGATAACAGAAACCATATTTCCCGGTTTATTTCCTTATCTGTACATCTCACACGTCTATGAGGTGCCGTGTTTTGCGAACGCGCGCCAAGAAACGCTTTTTATTCGCTTGTGCTAACTGAGGCCTGTTTAATTATTTACACCTGATCTTTTCTGCTTCTCCAGCTTACACTGAATAAATCATGCTATGGAAAAAAAACCTGATGTGGAACGATGGAGCCGAAGACAGCAGCGGTATCAACAGGGGAAATGTGCCGCTTGAAAAATCTAGTCTAACATAATGTGGTAAAGACTTATTTCGTACCATCTTCTACACTACACTGTCCTTTTTGCTGTGAAGTTCGTATTTCGAGCTGCCTGGAACAACGTGCAAGGTGTGAAAGTTACCCTCAAGCTGGCTCCCTCATTTGCCAAATTGCTGTTTTCTTACTTGACCCCTTTACTCCAGCAAGGAAAATATCAACATTTGAACAGAAATACAAGCAAGAAAAAGCAGCTCTTGTTGGAAATGAAAGGGCCAATGCCTTCAAGCGCCAACATGAGGTTCATGTACGTGTTTACTGAGAATGGTGAGAAGTGTTCATCATGAACCAGAGAGCTGATGCATATCTAACAGACACACCTGACAGGCAATGTATGGACAGGAACCTTCGCCTTGATATTCCTACTCCCTACCGATGTACCTTCTATATACTATAAATCCTCATTCCCATACAATGGACTGAGCCATGAAACAGCTCTATCATATATATCCTCCTGAGACCCAAGGAAAAAAGTGTCCTTCAATTGTAGGTTATTTGTCTTTGGAGGAAATAAGACATCTTACAATTTAGATTTTTTCAAATTTATTCTTATTTTAATTTCACAGCATGTCCTCTTTAGTGCACAACAAGAATAAATACGTTTCCCAACATCAGTGAAACAATGGACATAAATGAATAGGTCGGGTCTCAGGAGGATATATATACAGTATATATTTTTTATATATGTGTGTGTGTGTGTGTGTGTGTACACAAGGAGGCCAGAAGCAAGCATAGCAGCAGAGAGTAGAGCCATATAACGCTCACGTATAAAGGCCGATAGCTGATACTCTCTTCATGGCCAACAGACTGTAATCTTGAGCACAGTCAGCCACGTCAAGTCAGCAAAGCAGCCAAAACAGAGTGTGACGGTCTTCAACAATAACGGAGGGATCAATCTGTTCTGCCGGATCAATTTATCTATATTTTATTTATATACATAGATTATTTTTTTAAGATGACAGGGCTGACTGGCTGACGCAGTTCTGTACTGAAGGTGGGTGAATCAGGTTCATTGACTATTCCTCCATTTTCCTTGGGGGGAAAAAAGTGATTAGTTTCTCTCAATAAAAAAAAACAATCCCTCCCCCAACAATAGGAGTTGAGATGAAGGAGAATTGTTTACAAAGGGCTGACTGATATTCAACACCAAGCAACATCAAGAGCTTTGCCTGGTAAATTATACAATTGAAGTATCACATATGAAGCATAATAATTTTTCCAACAATGAGCATGAAGGACTTTGTGCGCAAGTCCATCATTGACACTGGGTATGATTTCATGGTGCAGCAGTGCTGGGGGAGGACTGAGGGGAGGGGGTGGGGTTTGACTGGACCGCACTTACGTGCTGAGAATCCGACAGCGACAGTGTGACGTGGGCAGGGGCGGTAGAAGAGTGTGGATCCCATCTCAATGGCGTACGTGTGACGCTGTGATGTAAGTGTTACTGGGCAGACCCAGTACTCAGGTCCTGGGGAAAGTATCAAGTTGGCGTGGCCTCCGATAATACCTTATCTTACGTCACTTTTTAAACAATGCCTTTTTTTAACCAGAAGGACTTGGCCTCATTGTAGCCAGCCCCCCCCCCCAAAAAAAAAATTGCCTATGCTAATTAAAAAGTGGTGAGAACTAATACAAATTTCCCCCAATGTTTGTGTTGTCGGCCACCTTCTTCAATGCAGTTTTTGTGAGAGAGAAAGAGGGAGACAGAGAGAGAGAGACAGAGAGAGAGAGAGAGAGAGAGAGAGGAACCGGCCGCCTAATCCATCTGATGGAGCGTGAGCCAATTAGGCAGGCCTCGCCATGGACGGCGACGAACCCAGAGCCCTGCTGGGGGATTGACCTCGCTTCCACTGCTGCAGCCCTCAGCAGGCTCCCTGATGCTACTTTGTGCATAAGCTCATGAAAAATTTTGGCTATATTCTCATATTTTAATTACGACTGCTAATGCCAACAATCTTTTCTGCCAACACTGTAACTAATTAACATCCATACAGAGAAGGACTCTGCTTATATAGTTCTAATTTTACTTCTCTTTGTACTTTGAGCTCCTACTTTCATTACTGTGTCTCGCTCAAAAAAAAAAATCTCCATGTGACCTCCCTGGTGCCTTAATTTGACTTTAGTACAAGAGGCTTCGTGAGAATGACAAGCAGGCAGGGAGACCGATAGACAGACAGACAGCCGGACGGACAGAGACAGACAGCTGGGCAGACAGACAGACAGTCGGACAGACAGAGACTGACAGACAGACGGAGAGACCGACGGACAGAGAGACCGACGGACAGACAGCTGGACATGCATATCCTAATTGGAGGGGTGTGGGGTTAGACCCTATCCAAGCAGCAAAGGGCATAAAGCTGTGGTAGCCCTGGATGGGATGCCAGTCACAGGGTGTGAAAGATATTTAGAAAGGAAATAAAGATTTAATAGGAAAATTGCATATTAATTTAATTTCACAGTATCAGTCTTCATTCTTTGAGTCTCCAGATGGGTATGACCGGACCAGGAAAGTATACCCTAACACAGTCCCTCACAGGAGGTCTAGGTCAGTCTCACCATTCCTGCGTATCTCTGCATCTCCCTGATGAAAGCAGCAGGAGACGAGAGTGACGTCTGCTGCACGGTTACCAGGCGACTCCTCCAAACTTTGATGACGACTGAGGGCTCATATGGAGTGAGGTGGGAGCCGTTCTGAGCCTTTGTTTAGGCAAGAAAACAGTCTCTCTCTCGCCAGCAGGCTCTTGGGGTCCCTGGCAGCTCTAATCAGCACTGCAGTCTCTCTTTTGCTCTGTTACGTCTGAAACCCTATCGTTTTTAGCTCCGGCCGCCCGCTCGAATCTGGGGGGCAGATTTCACCACAAGGCTTTATCGCAGACATTATGCCGTGATACAGACTCTGTATCACATTATTGACTTAACCATGCAACCTGAAATATTCATAGTAAGATCTAATTAACCGCAACTGCGAAAAAAACAGGAACTATAAACTAAACATATGATAGTAACGATATATTTTGATTGAAAGTAATTAGTAAATAAGGTCCAATGACTGCCACAATATTTTAATTAACCTAAACTATAAAAAAGATAGAAGGACCACCTGTGAACAGTAAAATGTCAGCTAAACAATGAACAGAATTTGTCATAATGGACCATTAAATCCTTGAATAGTAATACATAATGAACAGACTGTCTGCTGTTAGCCTGTTACTACATCTGCATCCATATGCATGTTGCTATGAGAACCCAAAGAATTTCTGCCAGTGGGTGACAGCGAAGTGCCTCACGCTTTCATCACCATCGTCACGTGTGTTAATGATGCAGACTCTGCAAAGGTCACAGTGCTCAGTTTGATGCAAAATTTTTCGAAAAGATTTTAAAAAATACATAATGACATTATTTGCTCCAATAGCTGCATGGATGGATGTTAAACCTGATCTTAAATGACACCATAAGCAAAGCACCCACCCCTACCATAAATTAGCTTGCAAATTACTACAAGAATTTCCCCCAGTATTAATAAAGTTCTCATATCCTGCCATAAATATAGCTGAAAATGAAGGTATATTCTCTTATAAAATCTAGTGAGACAATCCAGCAGTCTGCATTGAAGCTTCAATAAAAAAACTAAACATTAAACTGGTAGTGCTCACTGGTCACTGGCAATCTGAATAATACACACACACGCTGCTAAGTTTTTAAAAATCTATGTTTTCCTTATAGGTTTTTAATTTACGCTCAATTTTGTTTATATACTTGGCGGTGGTTATGGTCGGGTGTCCCGTGTAAATAAAGTTAAAAACCTCAACAGGAAACGACCTGCTGGTATGAATGACTTTCTATGTGAAACGCACTGCTGCAAACCAAGGATTCTGAAAACACCGCAAACCTCACACGCTGCCAGCTGGGGCCGCGGGTTTCTGAGCTGGCTCTAGCGGAGTCGTTCCGAGTCGCACTTTAGTTTATTTATAAGGACACACGACACCGCTGTCTCCCCGACTTCCTCCCACACTCTGCTAAGAAACGCCGCTCTGTCGGCTCCCATTGACAGCGGCTCGAAGTACAGCCAGTGCTCTCCGGCCCGCCAGGTCTGTCAGAGTCTGTCAAGCACAACTGAAACATCCTTACTGCAATTCCACTGAATTAGGAAGCTCTTTCTTAGGGCCTCTTCATTACACAAGACTGGAGCAGCCCTAACCCTAACCCTATCATTTTAATGACATCAGCTAATCGTTTGTTTGACTCTGACTGAACAGCGCTATCATCACGCTACTTCAAGGTACAAGCTGAGATGTTGGCTGGGATCTCATACATCTCCTGGCTTCATAACGATGTATTTTTAAGGTCAGTCCATGCCTTTGCTGACTCATCCCGGGTAATTTTATCCCAGTTCTGCCCGGTGTGGATTGTTACACATTTTTCCATGCGCTTCTTGGCAGATTTCTTTGCGAAATTCCTCTAAGCAGATTTCTGTCTATTTTGGCACAGGCTTCCCTAACAAAAGACAGAAGCAGTTGTAAAACTGATGACGATGTTTTTTTCTTTTTCTTGCTGCATGTTAATAATACCTTCCTGCATATTTTCATGCCAAGCTGCTAAACAATTAGTCCATCCAGACACTCATTCTTCATTTGCATATCTCCCAAGTTTATTTTAGCATTTATTGTCCACTCTTGCGACACCTTTTCATCTCGTCCGTTTCTTCATTCGGTCGCACGGTTTCATAAGAAAGACAGATACGGTTCTAACACACGAGGGACCTTTAGATAAGGAGCGTCAGGAATTGGCCCAAAGCTGAAGCACAAACGCCAAGCACAGCTTTCACAGAACTCAGAGGCAGCACTAATACAAGGTCTTACCCTTTACTCTGTGGCTTACCATGCTATCTGCAGTACTGCGTTCTGTGTCTTTTTCAATCTGTCCGATTATCGGCTTCTCTCTCGCTGCTGGGCTGTCAGTGGCGGGAAGACGAGTCTATTTACGCGGCCCGGGTTGCATGTGGAGGCCCCCCGAATACAAATGAAGCCCAGAGGCCCCCCGATAAGCCAAAGTCTTTCCATTATGTTAACAGAGGCAGGCCATTCATCTCCGCAAGGGTGTCCACAGCTCGTGAGAATGCAAGCTTAATCGGGGCGCTGTGTTTACCAGCAGGATGACGGGGAAACAAAACCGAAGATGAGGGAGCGCGGAATTACCAGAAAACAAACACGCTTAGCTGCTGATGGGGCCAACAAATAGAGAAATGGGTGTTGAGTTTTTTCTCCCCATACGCTGCTGTATTAACATGCAGACAGAAGGTGTTACGCTGTATATATAAAGAGGTAAAGATATAAACAGTCACAGATTAATCAACTGGTTGGTTGAAACAAAAACTTGGTCTGGATTTGTACTTCATGGACTTTAATCCACATCTGTAATGGATTACTTTTGTGAGTAACTTCCCCAACACTTAACGCAGGCTTGCAAAAAACTGTGATAATGACCATGAAAGTTACCATTTTTGACGATAAAATCCATATCAAGCTATCCTCGTTGGCTTTGTCCTTAGATGTAACATTGTACTGCAAACCTAGAAGACTTTCAGAGTGTGACTGCGGCGTTCGCTGATACTCACGTCGACCCCTGGGGGGGGCTGAAGCTCGCCCTCGCTGGTCGGACTCAGGTCCTGCCTCATCACCCAAATGGGCTCTTTGGGTTCATCGGGGGTGTACGGAGAGCGCACTGTCCGGGTTTTCACCTCCTCAATGGCCTCCTTTATGTCCTTGATGGCCAGTGAGATGGCATCACGTTTCTCCCTGCCTTCTCTCTGCGGGGCTGGGTCCTCAGAGGGGCTGGCCGCGGTCGGCCCATGCACCTCCTCCTCATCCGCCGGGGGTTTCCTCTCCTCTGGCTCCTCCTGGGAGTTGTGCTCCGACTCGGGCCACTCCTCCGCCGCCCCCATGCGGTCCAGGCTCTGTGAACTCAGGCTCTCCTTGACCTCGGCCACGATCTGGTCAATGTCCTCCTCCTGGTCCATGCTGTCCATGCGGGGGTAGGGGGCAAACTCAGCCTCCTTCTCAGGGCTGTCGGACTCGCCGTCGGAGCGCTCGTCATAGTGGTGCAGCCGGGACCCCACAGCCTCCTGCTGCCGGAAGTCCTCCTGCTCGAAGAGGCGGAAGCCAGCCCTGCGCTGCTGCATCCTCTCCTTCTCGGTCTCCCCATCTGCTGGAGGGCCGTCCCCTATCTCCTCATAGACGTGCTCCTGCATGCCGTAGCTGGCGTACGGCTCCGAGTACGGCTCGTCCTCGGGCTCTCCGGCGCCCCCTGCCTCTCCAGCCTGGTAGGGCTGCTGGGCATACACGTAGCTGGAGTAGGTGGGGTTCAGGGCTTCGGCATCCCGGCTCAGGGGCCGCTCGGCGTTGGGCAGGGGCTCCAGGGGCAGCGGGGGTGGCTGGGGCAGGTAGTGGGGCTGCTGGTGGGGCTGGTGCTGCTCGGCCTCAGCGCTCTCTGTGTAGCCCTCGGCCTCAGGCCGGAAGGGCACACCGTATACGCCATCATCCTCCCGCTCTGGCTCCAGCGCCATGACGGCGTCGCCCTCGGCTCGGTCCGTGTGGTTGTGGAAGCCGCTCTCCGTGCTGCCAGAGCGGGCCAGGCCGGACGCGCCTTCGTCCTCCTCGGGGTCCTCACGTTCCAGGGGAGGTGGGGCGGGTGGGGGAAGCTCCGCCCTCTCTGCCTCCCGCTGTTGCCTCTGCCTCTGCCTCTGCTGCTGGGCGCGGAGGCGGGCTTCGCCATCCCCCTGTCGGCGGTACCGAGTCACGCCAGCACGTGGGACGGGCTTGGGCACGTGCTGCCGCTCAGCCTCTACCTCCTCCCCCCTTCGCTGGCCACGGGTGCGGCCGCCCCTACCATCCGAGCCATCGTAACGTCGATACCGCGCCGCGCCCTGCTGGTGGTGCGCCGGCCTCTCAGGGGCGCCGTCCGTGCTGTGCCCGTTCTGTGGCCGGGCCCGACCGGATCGGCGGTGCTGGGCATATGGCTGGGGCTCCACCTCGCCCATCTCAGCCTCGACCGCCTCGCTCTGCTCCAGGCTGCCGCTGCCAGGCTCCGCCTCCCGCTCCGCCTCGTTCAGGTGGTTCATGGTTGCCTCAGGTCTACGCACGACACATGCTGTCCTTCAGGCCGGGGGTCATGCAGGACAAGGCACAGAGTCTGCGGGGACAAACGGGAGACACAAAAGTCGGTTAATGCAGCAGAGCCACTGCACCACCTGCAAAGCGACGGCTGGAAATCCTCAGCCCTGCAAACCCCAGTGAGATGCGGCAAACACCATGGGCATGTGTGTCACTGATCTTTCGTCTGTCGCCCAGCTTCCCTGAGAAACTCGCACCATCAATCGCCTGTAATGACTTAACCGTGGCTTCTTTTTATATGCAGCAGCAGCCTGACTATAGGTTTGTTGCAGAGGACGAGCTACCCAGGATTCAACCTCCTGCATGACAAAGACCTCACAGACACTGATCCATAACGCACCACCCAGCCTGTCTGGTCAGGAGAGCTACCCAGCTGTTCCATAAATGTTCCTTCAAGTGGAACTGCAGAGAGAAGGAGACCATGCCGACCAACATGGGGCAACACTAAGGCCAGGTTAAGGAGGAGAAGATGAGCCAGCAGCTACTCCCACATCATGGCCCATGAGACTTCAGGTACGGAGCACTAACCCAGACCCGCCAATCCTTGCCCTTATGCTCCTGACATCCACAATCCCCATTAGCCGGAGTCGCAGCCTCAAACAGCTATATCAAATGAAAGAAATTAATGCCTATAATGGCAGAGGACAGAGGACCTTGGGAACAAATCTGGGCATCGTTTCAAAACAAGGTAGAAAGGCCTTTTAACTGCGCAAACCAGTGGCTTAAGGATCCTTTTAGCAGTAAAGGATTTAAACAAAGGGGGGAAAACACAATGTCCAGGCTACCCGGTTGCCACGGTGACGGGGATGGACATTACTATTAGGTACTTTCAGAGGCTGCAGTGAAATGCCAAGACACATTACAAATGCAGACTGATGGACACCTCCGGCCCGCAGCCGCCATTGCCCCCCCCCCCGACACCCTGTCCAGCCCCTCCGTCACTCCACAGCCCCAGGCCACAATGGCTGCGTTACCGCGGAGACAGGTGGAGGCAAACTGTCCAGCTGAAACTCTGCATATATGCCAAAAAAAAGGAGCAAAAAACGGAAACGCGAATATATGTCCACATTAACAGAATCATTTGGAGCCTTATGTTCAAATGGAATCACCACTCATACTAAATGAACATTAAACCAACGTCAACACGCTACACTGCCGTACAAAAAACGCTATCCTTGCATATTTTATCAAAACTGAGTTACGACTGAAATCAGGTCTCTTATGTTCTGTTTTATCTTGTGACAAAATATCTTAGTTCAACTAATTACACAGTTTTGAAGAAAACACTGTCATTCAACATAAACTGTTCTTAGTCTTAGTGCCAGCATAGCTACTGTGTTTTAGGCAGTAAAACAAACTAGTAATCATATATGTAACAAACTTTCATCAGTGGCTTTTCATCACTCTGGGCCAGCGGTCACATGACCCGTCAAACAAACAAACAACCCAGCAAAAAGCACCGTGGCATGACAGCTGACGTGTTCCTGTAATGAATATTTCATGGCGCTGAACGCGCCAGCCGATGGGATCAGGCTTACAGAGCTCCGCCTCCGCCGGATGACTGGTAGGTCCACCACCGAGCTTTAATTGGCCGCCGGCGCCCCCTGCCTGACCGCACAGCCAAGCCAGGAAGGAGTTGCGCATTACACAGCGGGCAAATGCGACCGTGGACTGGACAATGCGATTACAAGGGAAGGGGCAGCCGTTGCATGCCAGATCTTGGCCTGCGCCATTAGACACGTGGGAAGGTGCTGTGAGACACAAACACGGTCCATCAGCCCCAGTCTGACGAGGGGTGAAGAGGATAAACACAGACTGATGAAAAAAGATACAGTTCAGATCAACCATGAACAATAAAGTGATCACCAAGAACTACAAGACCTCAACATTCACAGCTGACAAGCAGTGCATGAATTTTCGACTTCCAGAAGTCGATGCTCGTCATGACAGGTCCGGCTGCAGGAAGGAACAGCATGCTGGACAGTGGCTGTGAAGGCCAGAGAGGAAAAAGAGGACATTCTATTTGTCCCTGTGATCTCCGTCTCTGAAGCGTGACCCGGGGGACACCCCAGATGCAGTTGAGGCACAGAGCTCTCCTGTCGCTGCTCTCTATCTGAGAACCTCACCAGGGTTCTGCTCACACACTCTACGTTCTCGACACTCTACGTTCTCGACACTCTACGTTCTCGACACTCTACGTTCTCGACACTCTACGTTCTCGACACTACCACCACATGCTGTGCTTTGGCTGCCCTTTACGAAGCCACAGCTTTCAGACACAAATATGCTTGGGGAACCAGGGAACAAGGCAATGTTGAGCATTGCCCCAGCCAAGAAACTTCTCAATGCAAACTTGCACTATATAAACTACTGAACAGAATGAGGCATTACTGTTAAACTTACAACATTTCAGAATGTGTCAAAGTAACATTCCACTAGCAAGGACGTCATAGAGAATTCCGTACTCACTGAACCCAAGGCGTCCAAGAATATCTTGTCCTAAAACACTAGCAGATAATCTGCTGCCATAATTTGCCTGAAACATTCACATTTACAGGCCATGACTATTGTATTTTTTCCTCACTGTGTTTTTATTCCAGGATTTTTATTCGTCCCATTTGTCGCAGTATCAGACTGTAACCTACGGTGAAATAAAACATGGCCAATTCCACCATAATAAAAATGGTATTATTGATAAAATAAATAAACCACAAAATAAATACATAATAAATAAGGAAGAGAAAGTGATATAGAATAATTAAGAAAAAGGAAACCAGATGAAAAACAGAGAGGCGCAGTGTAGCTCAAATAAAGCGAATGGTGCATGTATCGCTTACTGCAGTCCCGTAAAGGCGACGTAAATTCATGAACACGCGTAAAATGCCCAACAAAAAATCTGCAGCAGAAATAAGGTACCATTCTGCTGTGGCACATGGTGACGCGGTTACGGTCCCTGCTGATAATTAAAAGGCCGTGTCTAATATCACCGATGACAGTGTGGGGTGAGTCACCGAATCCACACGAGGAACGACACCTTATCAGGCCAAAAACGGACAAACAGGACAAACAAAAGGCATAAGCGTTTCTCAGTGAAGGGAACACATTCTGTTCACTACCTTGGGAATCAAATACCCGTTTGCACAGGGTCTCCCAGTCCCCTGGCGCCACTTTAGAAGATCAGTGACAGTGAGATCATCTCGGTACGGCATGTTTAGTCATTTTCAGGAAATGATGGAGCGGCAGTTGATAGCACTGTTGCCTCACACTTCTAAGACCAGGGTTCAAGCTTCCGCTCTAACTCCGTGCGTGTGGAGTTTACATCTTCTCCCTGTGTCATTGCGGGGTTTCCTCCGAGTACTCTAGCCCCCCCCCCACAGTCGAAAAACTTGCTGAGGTTATTTAGAGATTCCAAATACCCTGTAGGTGTGCATGAATGGTGCGTGTGCCCATCAGTGTGTTTTTGCGCCCCTGTCCCGGCTATTTCCCTTGCAGGAGAAGTTCCAGACCATCGTGACCCTGTATAGGACAAGCAGGTACAGAAGATGGATGGATGGAGGAGAGCATGACAACAGCATCATGAGGGGGCAGTTATTTTTATGGGGGAGGGCATGCCACACCATATCTCTTCTATGGTTCCACTTAGAAAATTAAATGATCCATATTTCCTTATTATTATTCTGATGGGGGGTTGAATAGGGGTGACTATATTTTTACTAACCACCCCTGAGATCTGCCCCTGGTTAATGGGGAGCTCTTAGTGACACAATTACCATTTGATATCTCTAATGATTATTACATTGTATCTCGAATGTGTGACCCCACCTTCAGAAATTGTGTATGGCTTTGAATGTAATTCAAAACACATCCTTAAATACATGCACTGCACGGGCTCACATGACATTGATAAAGCAGCGGAGGCCAAATGAATGTGGTTCAGTGGATCGTGGCTGGAATGAAAAACCATGAAACATCTGGCATAAAGGGCTCCAGGGTGACAGTTGAGGTCAGGGTGGACATCTTGTTTTGTGTGGCCTGTCCGTGCTGTTTGTAGCAGGTACGGCATCCTTGGGGTAAAATGATGTTAGAAGAAGATATATTACACCTCATTTGAAGCTGGATTTCTCCCGTCTCACAGTCTGATCTGCTGGGAGGCAAATCAAATTAGACCTGCAATTTACTATGAACAGATTAGATTATAAACCCCCGCCATCACAGACTTAATTGCATTTTGCCACACAAATACCAGAAGGAGGGAGGGTCAAGGTCAATATTTTGTCTTGACAAGAATTTCGTATTATCTGTATCTGTAACCTAGAGATCCACTTGCAATTCCACCAGGTGAAACTTGCCTCACTAACTCAGTGTATGAACACCGCTCACTGTCAATGGTGAGATATTTCACTAATTCAATCTGACCATAAGGCTAAATTAGGCCACCATTGGATTAAAGCAACTTGGCATATATGGATTTATAATATTTTATAGCAGCTTTTAAAAGCACAGCTACATAATTACCTACTGGGACGTCTACTGCAAACATAACAACTGTTGCAACATATCATTAATGGATGTCTGGAGAGTTACAATTTTGCGGTTCGCAAAGAACAATGAACATTTACTCAATCTCTCCAGCAACATGACAGCTAATTTCCATCTCTGATTTTAGTCATTTCCCCCACCGAAGCCCTTGCTAATTTTTTCAAGTTTCTTAATTCAAAGAGGACTAGCTAATGTTCATGGATTTTAATTCCATTTCTTCCTATGTAACACATTTCAGAGGAAGCTGTAAACACAAATGTGCATGTTGTCAGTTTTATTTGAATATGTAAAACTGCAAGAAGTGATCAACCCAGGTGGACTGCAAAGATCTTTATTTTTATCGCGCAGCAACCTAGTAATAAAAATAAACATGTCTTTCGAACATGTATAAAAATACATTTAATGTGCCTGGGAAGTGTAACACTACATATCACATGACAATAGGTATTAAGCATTTAAAAACTAGGAATCCACCCCACC